AAATTCAGTAAAAATCCAGAATAATAATTACAATTAACGCTACATTGCAGGAAAAATATAAAACTTGACATGCGGTGGAAAATTTTATATGTACAACAATTTCATGGAAATAACAACACATAAAATTTGTAAGAATTCTAATACTCATGGTATTCTATACCAATTTTCTTAAACAACACACATCTCCTACTTGGAATAATCTTCATCACTTCATAATTACTCATTTTCCTTTCTTCACTATATGCAAAATCTAGAAAGATATCCAACAAAATAATTTTTTCAAATCAAAACTAAAAATTTATCCCCTTTCACTCAAAATTTCCCCCTTCCATCGCCATGGCACCAACAACAACAACATCTCCTCTCATCATCACTCTCTTCATCCTGTTCTCCATCTCACTCAACTCCCACTGCTTCAAAATCACGACTCAGGTCATCCACCGCGACTCCTACTTCTCTCCCCTCTACAACGCCACCGCGACCACCGCCGATCGGGCTGCAAGGATCATCGAAGCTACCCTCGCCCGCTACAGTCAACTGATCTCATCTTACAACGATGACAGGCCTCTGGCTGTCGACATCGTGGCCCCAGGGATCTGGGGGATCAAGTTCAACATATTCTACGTCAACTTCTCCATCGGCGACCCGCCGGTGCCGCAGCTGGCCGTGATGGACACCGGCAGCGACTTGTTGTGGGTGAAATGCCCGCCGTGCAGTCCTTGTTCCACCAGCTCTGGAGCCACCTATTTTTACTCCTTCAATTCCAAGACTTACTCTCCGTTCCCTTGCACCGATGATTGCGAAAAATGCACAGGTACGCATCCATTGTATAAAAACTTGTTTTAACAACCAAAAAGTGGTCATCAAAAGAAATAAACAATAAAAAACTGACCTTTTGCGACAGGAAATTGGCGACAGGAGAACATTCGTCGCAAAAAGATGGGTTTCACGTATATTTTTGTGGCCGAAAAGTAAACCTTTCGCGAGGAATTACGTCGTCGCAAAAGCTGTTGTGTTCTTGTAGCCAAATCGTCGATTTGGTCTTATCGTTTTTCTTGTAGTGACGCCTGCCACGAATATTTGTCATTTTACAGCATTTACATCTTAAAACAATTTTCAAACGTGAGTAAATGAATCCACTTTAATATATGATTTGACAGAAGAAGAAGGTTCATCTATACTCCTGGAGCAGTCTCTACTGAGTTTTTTCGAATTTTTTGCTTATTCGTATTTATGAATTTGTCGAATTTTCATGGTCGTGACGAAAAGGGGGTTGGCCATGGTCGCCAAAGCACTGCAAGTACAAAATAGACTACGCGGGCGGCCACAGTTCCGAGGGAGTCTACGCCACCGAGCAACTGACCTTTCAGACCTCCAACAATGGCTTCGTGACCACCATCCCAAAAGCCTTATTCGGCTGTTCTAGCAAGCAGAGCGGGCCGGAAGGTCTTGACCCGCACGTCAACGGAGTTCTAGGATTGATGGCCGGAGCCGGCGCTGACGATTTCCCCGATGGACAATTCCCTTTGGTTACCCGATTGGGCACCAGCTTCTCGTACTGCGTCGGCAGCCTTTCCGATCGTTACTACCCTCACAACCACTTATCCTTCGGCGACTCCGTCGACCTGATCGGCGGATCGACTCCCCTGTACCTCGAAGATGGCAGGTACTTTGTTCACCTCTCCGGCATCAGCTTGGGTGGCAAGATGTTGGACATCAAGAAGGAAGTGTTCGCGAAGATGGCGTTGAGGAAGAAGATTGAGATGGATAGTGGGACGGAGCTGTTTCTCCTGTACACCGAAGCATTCGAGGTTTTGAAGGCAGAGATTGAGAGGCTGGCTTTCTGGGAGCTGATGACACCGGTCTTATCTCCGCCGAGCCCTTTGGAGCTCTGTTACAAAGGGACGGTGGAGAAAGAGGCTCGAAGGTTTCCGGCGATGGGGACTCGGTTCGTCGGCGGGGTGGAGTTGGTTGTGGATCAGTTTGGGGTGTTCTTGCAGGTTAAGGATGATGTTTTCTGCTTGGCTATTGTAAGGTCAAAGGATGTGAGTGTTATTGGGATGATGGCTCAACAGGGTTACAATGTTGGGTATGATCTGAAAGCAATGACTGTGAGTTTCCAAAAAATGGATTGCCAACTTTTGGAACGATGATATTTGATCAAACACATATATAATATCCGCATTGTACTTGTGTTAGATGCTCTTATGAGTTTGTCGGGTATACACGATGATTATGTTTCGTTGTGTTAGACGAATTTTCTTCGTAACGAATAGAAAAGAAGATTATGCACATCGATCGGAACTACATGTACTTATTTGGTTAATTGTCCTGATGTGCAGGTCGACCAGGCCAGTTTTGGAGATCGAAAGGTGCACCACGCATAAACCAATGATGTTATTGATCAACGATACATATATATTAATTAACTCGCTAGACTCCAAGTCACCATAACTTGAAATTTATCTCACTTAGATATTAATTGTTGAACTTGCAACTTTTTGAACAACAATTAATATTAACACGATTCACGTCTCTCCAAAAAAATCGAACGAGAGTGTTTGATATTTTCGATAACTTGTGGAACAAACTAAATAAAGTTATTCTACTTCTATAGATATTCTGTAAAAGCTCCAGAAACTAAAAATTAAAACTATTCCTACACTGAAAAAAGAAAAATTGACATGACATGTCAAATTTGAAATGTACCAGAATTTCATGGAAACAACACAAAATTGGAAAGAACTGTAATACTTAGGAATTCTATACCAATTTTCTTAAACAACACATCTTATACTTGGAATAATCTTCATCACTTCATAATCATTCATTTTCCTTTTCCTCATAATTTCCCTCTTCCTCTTCTTCTCCATCTCTCCCCTCCTCCCACTGCTTCAAAATCACGACTCAGCTCATCCACCCCGACTCCTACTTCTCTCACCTCTACAACGTCACCGCCGACCGTGCTAGAAGGATCATCGAAGCTACCCTCGCCCGCTATGGTCACCTGATCTCATCGAACAACGACACGCCAATGGGTGTCGACATCGAGGCCAGTGGGACCTAGGGGATCAAGTACAACATATTCTATGTCAACTTCTCCATCGGCGACCCGCAGGTGCCACAGCTGGCCCTGATGGACACCGGCAGCGACTTGTTGTGGGTGAAATGCCCGCCGTGCAGTCCTTGCTCTACCAGCTCTGGAGCCACATACTTTTACTCATTCAATTCCAAGACTTACTCCCCACTCCCTTGTACTCATGAATTTTTCCAAGTTGTTTCCGTGAGGAAACCGTTTAATTCCAATAGCTCGAATTGTATGAAGAAAGTTAAAAACTGATCTTATACCACTCTCTCGTCCGCTTTCTTAAACAAAAATCTGCTCATAGCTTTGAAGTTTACAAAGGTTCACCCTACTTTGTGCTTAAATAAGTCATTAATATTGGAGGTCACTAGGAGTTGAACACGTGACCTCATGATCAAACCAACTCTGATATCTTTTTCATAAATCGTTTGCTTACAATAACTCAAGTTGTTGGGATAGATTACTACAAGAAAAAGGTTCTTTCGCAACCAATAAAATTGGTCCCTAAAGGTCGAAAATTGGTTATAAATACTTTTTCGCAACCAAAATATTTTGGTTGCAGAACTGGTCGCTATAGCCACATTACGAATACCTAACGCAACCAAAACAGTGATTGGTAGCGAAAAATATGCAATCGCAACCAATTTCACCAAAGGTAAAAAATCCTTAGTTATTTCGCGACCTTTTTAATTTGGTTGTCATAGTTCAACCTAATGGTTGGGAAATATAGTTGATTGGTCGCCAAAAATATAAATGACAACCAATTTGATGTGACTATTAGTAACATATTATTTTGGATGCAAAAAAGGAAGTGTTCGTGGAGATGGCGTTGAGGAAGAAGATTGAGATGGACAGCGGATCAGAGTTGTTTCTCCTGTAAGCCGAAGCTTTCGGCGGAGAAAGAAAAGGTTACGGATGATGTTTTCTGCTTGGCTGTTGTTAGGTCAAAGGATGCGAGTGTTATTGGGATGATGGCTCAACACGGTTACAATGCTGGGTATGATCTGAAAGCAATGACAGTGAGTTTCCAAAAAATGGATCGCCAACTTTTGGAAGGATGATGATTATTTATCAAACACATATGTAATATTCGCGTTCTACTTGTGTTAATGAATTGTCGGGTATACATGATGATCATGTTTGCTTGTCTTAGACGACTTTTCTTTATAAAGAATAGAAGATTATGTATATCGGAACTTACATGTATATATTCGGTTAAGTCTTAGAAAGTTAATAACATAGATTTAGAGTATGTCTACGATGACATTATTAAAAATGCAAGTCAAAGTAACTTCGTTAAAGACAGACAAATGCCTGGTATAGTGAATATATTGTATATTCTTCGTGTGGTTTATAACGAGCGACCGAGATCAACATGGTTCAAGGATAGATGACTACATCAATAAAAAATTTGTAAATTTATATAATAAGTATACGAAGGTTGATTGGAGCACCAAATAATTGATAGTTGTCGTGATCATGTTGACTTCTTTGTTTGTAGGTGGAATGATTTCAAGGCCCGATACCTACACCAATGAGGCATTTTAGTATGCTATATAGCACCCATGCTTTAATATACTTAGAGCCATTAGATCTTGTTATAAAATATCAACCATCGGATTGAAGTCATTTAATTATTATTTTTTTCACTCGTTGGAATGGTAACCTGTTGCACCAGTTCATTACGTAATAATTTTAAAAAAATTGAAATCCAGTCGGGGTAAAGGCGATTGAGCTCGTCATATTTCAGAGCCTCTCTTCCGCGGTGGTATTTTAGAGTGTCTCTTCGTCGATAGTGACGGGGCTGATTAGCGGTGACGGTGAACCTGCATCTGAAATAGTGCGACGGCGACGGCGAACTTGCATCTAGGGCGACGGCAACCCTGTGAGAAGAAAGAGATTGGGGGTTTCAACTTTACTCTTCCGCGATTGTGAACTGTGCTCTTCCGCGGTGGGTCTCTTCGTCGATATTGAAGGGGTTGAGCATCGGCAACGAGAACGGTGAAATTGTGCGGTGGGTCTGATCATTTTTCAACTTTCCTCTCCTAGGATTGTGTTTCGCGGTGGGTCTGTTCGTAGATAGTAAAGGGGGGTGAGCAATAGCGTCGGCAATGAGGACTTGAATTATGAAGGCAGCGGAGACTCTTTTACTAGGGGAAGACTCATAAGGAATCAAAGACTTGAAAGCCCAATCGAAAACGATGAGCCAACTGGCGTCGGGCAAGAGAACTTCTGCAATAGCGAGAATTGGGTGATAAAGCATTCGATTTCCAATTTGAAATGACGACTCAGTCATTAATTCGATGTAAGTGGCTGAAATTCTTATCCCCCTTTGATAAACATTCAATTTCTGACATGGATTCAAGTTAGTTTGGGTTAATTATCCCTCTAGCTTCTAGAGCATCTCTTGGAGCAGTTTCAAGTACAATAATGGTGTAACCCATCAAAAAGTTGATCTTGGTGCACCTTGTAATGAATCCTTTAAATTATGCTAGCTTTGAATGTCTGACTTATTTCTCTGGAAATGTCAAGTTGTGGGGGAGTTTGATAGACCATTGATTACACATCTTTTTACCCCTATTCTTGAGCCGTTTGAGATGTCGATTCCCGTGTTTTAGGCCGATTTCACGCTAGGTTGTTCTTGTTTGTGATATTTCAGGTCCTAGTACGTGAATGAAGGTTTAGGAACGAGTTCGGGGTCGATTGGACAAAGTTTGGACGCTTGGCGAGAAGCTGAGAAGCAACACGGGCATGCCCAAAAGCCACACGGCCGTGTGCGAGACCCACTGTGGCCGTGTGAAGGCTCGGCAAAATCCCCACGGGCAGCCTGGACACTCACACGACCGTGTGAGTCGTGGCCGCGTGGGAAGCCTGAAGTCACTTAACGAAACGCCGCGTTTTGCAAAGCCACACGGGCAGCTGGGGGAGTCACACGGTCGTGTGACATGTCCGTGTGAGTCGGGATTTTCTGGTTTTAAGCCAATTTCCAGCCACAAGTGAGGGGGATTGGAGTTTTAGAGAGACAGAGCGATTCCTAGAGAGAGAAAGCGACGAACAAGAGTTCCCAAAGTGCCCTAGCTTGATCTTCATCACCATTGGAGCCTGGCTTGAGCTTGGAGGAGTGCTGATCGACGACCAGGAGCAGAAATCCATCCTTTACAGTATGGTTTCCGCCTCTGAATCTGCTTTTGCTTCTTTCTCCATGGAGTAGTTCTCCCATTCATCTAGGTATGGTAAACCCTAGATTTGTATGTTAGGTCTGATTGTATGAACCCAAGTACAGATTTTATGATTTGATTATGTTCAATTGAGGCTTGAATGATTGAATGACTTGAATCCTGATCAAATTCCTGTTGTTTCTGCTTTAACCTAGAAAGAGAATATCTGCCTAGGTTAATAGAGCACCCTTAATTGAAGGTGGTGAATTGGCGACTTTAGTCGAGGAGTTAGTTCACTATTATGTACCGAATTTACTTCGGTAGTGGAGGTTTGGTTCGTTAGGGCCTCAATCTGTTTACTCCGGTGGAGGTTGGTCGCCCGCTGGGGACTCAGATTGAGAGGGTTTGGAGACCTTTAGTCTAGACTTCAGACTGTTTAAGAACCTTCCGCAGTATAACTTTCATAGAAACTAAACTTGGTAATTGCAATCCGGCTTAACCGCAGTCTAGGGGGAACCATATCCGGGTGACCTCTCTCGACTTGAAACAACCGTTTAACTTGTTTTGTGTTTTTGTTTGTTTGAACCTGCACTTAAGTTTTACTGCTAGATAATAAGAATTCACTGAGTAGTCATCACATCTAGGACCCGGGTTGACATTAAAACTCAAACCCGCTTTACTACGCTTTAGGAAGTGGTTTCACTTGGCCATTTTCTAGAGTGACAGTAGGAGTGATTCAAGTTTTTGGCGCCGTTGCCGGGGACGGCTAGGTTGTTGAAGAAACGTGAATTCTGTTAATTTAGCTTTTCTTTTCGCGTTGTTTGCTTTGTCCCACTTGTGTCTTCACGGGTTTGCTTGCTTGAGTGTGTGCAGGTAGTGCATGACCCGTAGCCAGTCGGGAGGTTTACTGCCGGTTAATCCAGATGGGCAACCATATGGGTAGCATGGCTCGCCAAAACACTACCAGGGTACCGGGGACTCTGCCTGCCACCACTATTCCGAATCCTCGTGAGCCACACCAGCACCAGCAGCTAGATGCCATCACTACCATGAGTGGCAAGACCACATCTGCTGCTCCTGCTCGGCCCAGTCAAGATGAGCCACTACCTGCTTCAACACTTCCAGCTGATAATGCAGAAGTGGGGGGAGACAAAGAAAAACCTGCTCCCAAGCCACAGCCAGTGGTTAAGGAGCATGTACCTCAGCTTCCTTTCCCCATTCGCCTACATAAAGACAAGCTGGAGACTAAATTTGCCAAGTTCATGGCAATGTTGAAGCAGGTCAACATCAGCATGCCGTTCGTGGAGGCACTGTCGAAGATGCCCAAGTATGCCAAGTTCATGAAGGACCTCCTCACCAACAAGAAGAAACTTGGGGATCTTTCGACAGTGATGCTGAGCGAGGAGTGTTCAGCTATCCTGCAGAACAAGCTACCCCAGAAGCGTAAAGACCCAGGGAGTTTCACTATCCCTCTTGTTATTGGAAGCATGATAACGATGTAATTGCACATGTTTGCGCCCCTAGTTCTTATCCGTTTGAGGGGTATAGTCGTGTGTTTTGGCCTATTTTACGCCGGGTTGTGCTGTTTTGTCATATTTCAGGTCCCAGGCGTCAAAGGGAAGGCTAACCACGAGTTTCGGGGCATTCGGAGGTCATTTCGTCAAGCTGGGGCCAAAACACGGACACACCTAAGGCATTACACGGCCGTGTTCCTGTGGCCGTGCTTTTTATGCCGAGAGCTGAGCTGATTACACGGGCAGGGCCGAGACAAAGCACGGCCGGGTTCAATCACTACACGGCCGTATCCAACGCGAAGCACGGCCGTGTTTCCTCCCAACTGCTGGCTGTGTAATTAACCTTGGCCGAGACACGGGCGGACTCAGGCAAAGCACGGCCGTGCCCTCGACCGTGCTTTGGCCACTGATGCCTTTGTAAGCAGATTTTCAGCCAAACAGAAGGGGATTCGAGTTTTAGAGAGAGAGATCAGTTCCTAGAGAGAGAAAGCGACGAACAAGAGTCTCCAAGTGCCCTAGATTGATCTTCAACACCATTGGAGGCCAGCTTGAGCTTGGAGAAGTGCCGATCAACATCCAGAAGCAGGAATCCATCCTTCACAGTATGAATTCCGCGTCTGATTCTGCTTTTGCTTCTTTCTCTATGGAGTAGTTCTCCCATTCATCTGGGTATGGAGAACCCTAGATTTGTATGTTAGGCTTTGATTGTATGAACCCAAGTACTGATTCTATGATTTGATTATATTCGATTGAGGTTTGAATGATTGAATGACTTGAATCCTGATCAAATTCCTGTTGTTTCTGCTTTGACCTAGAATGAGAATCTCTGCCTAGGTTGATAGAGCATCCTTCATTGAAGGTAGGGAGTTGGTGACTTTAGTCGAGGAGCCAACTCACTATTCTATACCAGATTTACTCCGGTAGTGGAGGTTTTGTTCTTAGGGCCTCAATCTGTTTACTCCGGTGGAGGTTAGTCGCCCGCTAGAGACTCAGATTGAGAGGGTCTGCAGACCTTTAGTCGAGACTTCAGGCTGTTTAAGAACCTTCCGCAGTATAACTTTCATAGAAACTGAACTTGGTAATTACAATCCGGCTTAACTGCAGTCTAGGGGGAACCATATCCAGGTGACCTCTCTTAACCTGAATACAACCGTTTACTTGCTTTGTTAGTTTGTTAGTTTAGACTTGCATTCCAGTTTCATTGCTAGATAACAAGAATTCACTGAGTAGTCATCAGATCTAGGACCCGGGTTGACATTTAAACCCAAACCCGCTATACTACGCTTTAGGAAGTGGTTTCACTTGGCCAATTCCTAGGGTGACAGTAGAGTCGAGTCAAGTTTTTGGCGCCGTTGCCGGGGACAGCTAGGTTGTTGAAGAAAAGTGATTTCTGTTAATTTAGCTTTTCTTTTTGCTTTGTTTGCTTTGTCCCACTTGTGCCTTCACGGGTTTGCTTGCTTGAGTGTGTGCAGGTAGTGCATGACCCGTAGCCAGTCAGGAGGTTTACTGCCGTTGAATCCAGAGATTGAACGCACCTGTCGCCAGCTCAGGAGACAACAGCAAGCTAGACTGGCTACGGAAGAGCGCATAGACGGCCACGTGAGCAGTGATTCTGAGGAGGAGTACGAGATGGAAGACTACAATCAACACCAGGGGAATCCTCAGCAGGCTCCCCCGGTGAATCAGGTCCTGGGGAACAACCCCATACCCCAGGATCATGGAGTTCATCATCCACCGCAGCCGGGTCCCACCTTGGAGTACTACTACACTTCGCGGATTGCTGACATCTGCCCGGTCATCCTCTACCCGCCTATTCCAGCAAATAACTTCGAGATCAAGCCATGCTGGATTCAGCTCATCACATCCTCTATCCAGTTTCATGGCTTGAAAGATGAGGAGGCCAGGGTACATCTTTCCCGTTTTCTGCAGCTGACGAACGGGTTCAAGCTGAATGGTGTCCCGGATGATGCAATCCGCCTTCATCTTTTCCCCCATTCTCTGGCGGGGAATGCTAAGAGGTGGTTGGAGACCCAGCCCCCATTGTCCATCACCTCTTGGGACGATCTGGCTGACAAATTCGTGCACAGATACTATCCGGCATCGAAGACTACAGAGATTCAACGGGAGATCACTCACTTCCGCCAAGAGCCAGATGAGTCACTTCGTGATGCTTGGGAGCGGTACATGGGATATTTCTGGCAGTGCCCCCATCATGGCTTCAGTGATGCATTCACAGTGGGGAACTTTTATAGTGCCCTCTCTCCAGATAGCCAGAGAGTGATTGAGTCTCTATGCCCAGGAGGGGATGTCCTCACTAAGACTCCACCCGAGCTGAACCAGATGATTAATACATTGGCTGCCAGAGATCATTCTTGGGGGCAGAGCAGCAGAGGCAGACATTCCAGGGACCGTGGTATGCACGCCACGGAGACCATATCCGGGCTCGAGCAGTAGGTAGCCGAGCTAGTGCAGATATTGAAGCAGCCCAACAGTCTTATTCCGGGCAGAGGGTTGGCTACACCTCCAGTTGCTCAATGTCAGTGGTGTGAGAGCTCGAATCACCTAGTGGAAGACTGCCAGGCTATGAGGGA